GCGAAAATTCAATTTCTTGTGACCCTGTGGTAAATAGACCTTTAAACAATTCTGCAGTGTCCGATTTTTCGATTTTCTAAATAAATATACCGTTAGTTAAGCACTTCGGTCTTCACAGCGTTCAGTGCGAGATTGCTGATTAGATTCGGGATGTTTGCTCAGACGGTGATTTTTTCTACCAACTTGTTCAACATGAACATGGTATAATAAAAATTGCGTCATCTGTACATTTTAATCACCGTATCAACATTCGATGACCTTTCACCTTTGTTGTTGTCCGTTTTGATGCTACTTCAGTGTGTCGCATGATTGCTAGTTTCATGCAGTTCGTTAAGATGACTTCATGTTTAAAATCAGTACTACCACAGAAAATGATTCATCAGCGTTAAAGTGTTTTGTGACTTATCTACGTCGTTTGCAGGTTTGTTCTGTGATTAAGGCAGCCAGCGACTATTTACTAACTTCCGGCAACTTTTAGACAGGAAGATGCTACTGTAAATCTGGGTACTACGATACCTACTGCAAGCAGCGCTGTCCGAAGGGTTTCTATGGGCCAGGCTGCCTTAGGCACTGTGCCTGCGAAGCAGGAATCAACTGTGATGCTGAAACTGGGGAATGCGAACCAAAATGCAAACCCGGCTTTACTGGTGACGACTGCAAAGAGCGTAAGTATCAACGAAAGGAATTGTTTTTTTCAGTTATCTGAACACTGTGCTTCTTTTAGCATGTCCGAAAAGTCATTACGGATTAAACTGTGCTCATGAATGTCACTGTCTCGAAGCGCAGGTCTGCAACCCTATCAGTGGGGAATGCACTTGTCCGGCCGGCTTCATGGGCAAGTCTTGCTCAGAATGTGAGTTAAATCCTGATTTACATTCAGTTACGTGCATTATTTAAATCAACTAAGATCAGATTACAACTCGTCACACCATGACTGCTTTATTACATAAATTTTCGAAGTGAACCTCACTCTTGAAGTAGTAAAGCCGAAAATGTGGTAGTGTTACACGACAATTCCATAAACAAAATTGCAGCCTCGTTTCTAGGTCCTATGTCTTCGTTTCGTTGCTCTGGTTTTATTAATACTTGTTAAGTGGTGGAATTCGCCAATGAAAGTTTCATTCACTTTACGGATTTGAAATTCCTTTCGAGGTATACCTCAATCATTTGTTCCCGTGTTATCCTTTGCGTTACAACATGTTGTGCTACTGTCGAGTTTACTGCCTATATTTTTTTAAGCGTGGCTTCAGGTGTTTCGCATTCTAGCATTACAGTGTAGAACCATCGCACACCGGTTTTAAGTCAACATTAGTTGCGCATAGTCAGGTGGATAACTTCATAACTGACTAATGAGGTGAACTATTTCGTTTGTTTGTTGTTGGACGTACAAAAACAACGCCAAAGGCGGGTTAATTATGCACAGCACGATGCATTTGTTTAATGAGTGACAGTTTTATACCGACATTATAACCGGTATTTTAAGCCTTTCTCCCATTTAAAGAAGAGACCAATTTCTTAATGCATGTTTGGGAATCTGAACATAAAACAGTGACGGAGAAGTTTTACTAGCAGTCGACGCGTTTAGTCACCAACACCGGTAACATCATCAGGATTGCATAATTTAAATAATTTGAACAACGTTCTGGCACAATAGCCAAGAATTAAGCACCAAATCATGAGAGCAACGTGTCACTCAACCCGGAAACTTTGCATTTCTCTCATTAGATTATCGACTGCACTCCA